CCCCAAAACCCCAAAACCCCAAAACCCCGATATTCCAAGTCTTGAAATATGAGGGTAATTGAAGAAATAATAATTATTAAAAATGTTTACTCCATAAAGATTGACTGAAGATTAAGATGAGTCTGCTTAAATTGCTACTCAGATTATAAAAAGTATCATCATCTTTCCATTCTATCAATGATAAATCTTAATTAGGCAAAAGTGTCTATTTCATAGAGTCAAACAATTCTAGTTATAATTTAGGTTTCGAAAAAAACACTAGTGCTTAATCTAGATTAGACAGAAAATCTTAGTATGTTTAAGGTAATTGTTAATGATTTAGACTCAATAAAATTTTGACAGCTGAGACCAAGCTGATTAGTCAATCGCAGATATCTCCAGCTAGAACATAGAGTAGAGTCTACTAGTAAAGACGCTCTAAGTTAGTTGCTGATAATCTCGAATTTGAGTCTGATTCTATTGCCTCTTAAAGATAAATGCCTTAAGATGGAAAGAGAGCTTACAATGGCTATTAAAAAATCAATAACTCACAGCAGCAGCTGAATTAAGATCAATAAGTCTAGAATCCAGAATCTTTATCTAGATTAGTCAATGAAAGTAAATACATGTCCAATCAAACTGATGGTATCTTGGGTGTCATTTTCATTGTTGCTGCAGGAATCATATTTAGTTTATCATTGTATTCATTTTGGATTTCAAAGTTCTTCATGCCCTACACAGGCAATAAAGTTTTGGATTGGATTAAAGACGATGAATACTACTGCTTCCTGATTCCAGCAACCCTTGTTAATGCTTTGATTATGACTTATTTCAATTGGCTAGCAATGAAGTACTTTAGACAAGGATGAGAAAAAAACACTTTAAAAAGACAGTTTTTTCTCTAGTCTAAATAGTTATTAAGACATTCATGAACATTTATCAGTGTACAATTATTTTTGTATAAACTATTTAAGCAATCAAATTATCATTTTCTTATTTTATACTAAATAATAGTTAATAAGTTATTGGCCATTGGGGTTTTGGGGTTTTGGGGTTTTGGGG